TTAGCACATACATGTATACAAATAAACGCATATATGTATATCCGTAAAAGTGCTTATCACATAAAATATACATATGTGCTGTGTTCCGTAAAAAGTGCGTTTCAGCTGGTACCACGACTTACTCTTCGTAAACGCGGCGGATGTGACTGGGACTGCCCTCTTTAGTCATAAACACTTCAAAAGTGGGACTGTTTTTCACGCGCTCGTTCTCGTATTGGTATGTGTCCACCACGAAACCAATAAGTAGACTGAGAAGGATTCAGATTGTGAATATGGGTCAGATGAGGTTTGTACCAATCGTGAGTTTGATCCGAATTCATCACAAACATATGAGCAAGCCCCTGAGGACCAAACTGAGGACGGCTACGGAGAGTCCCGTGCACTCAATGGGAGTGCGTGATGTACACTTGTTTAAATTGCACGAATACCTCTATGCATGGTATATTATACAGTCTCCATGGTTCATGGTGCATTCGCCTAATAGCTCTCATTGCACTCTACAGATTGCGGCGTAGAATACTTCCATTTACCAACATACAAATCCGCCAGAGCAACTTACTTGAGAGCTACTTGCATAGTGAACAACACCCACACAGTGAAGTAGACTGTGGCCCACTCACTGGTGACGGTGGCGTACGCGTTCATAATCACAAACCAGTTGTTTGTCAGCATAACACAGTACAGAGTCACCAGTGTGTTGTAGAAGTCGTCAAAGTTCAGCAGCCAATAATTGTTCTTTGCAAAATCGGACCCCTCCAAGCGTGGATCGTCTTTGACTATCTGTGCAAGGGAGAGCGGCGTACATTGTGAGTGACAGCGAGAGTTTGGGTGAGGCGGAGGTATATAGTGCATCTGCAGATGAAAACTTGTCAATTAGGCATTTCAAGTGTCTTGAAGGGATACCAATGAGATCTATGGCCACGAGAAAGCGGTATAGAAACTTATCAGTACAGAAATTGAAATCCGATTCCAATGGCGATTTATTTGCGTTTACGACAAATGCTGTACATGCCAATTGAAACAGTATTCAGATGCGTTTACAGTATAGAATGTCCGAACCGTCCACCAGGTTTAAAACTCAATTGCAGATGTATACGCGGATAGAAATGCAAAACCATTTAACGGCACAAAGATGATCGACAACGTGTACAGTGTGATATATTGGACAGTAGTCTCAGGGTCAATTTTAAAGCCTTGCTGAATGAGTATATGTGAATATAAACAGTAATTGAATATGCTGTCCAGAAACACGTCTAAGTAAAGGCATATAATATATTTTATATATACTTGCTGTTCGTATACCTGCACATTAATCATAGAGTACAGTTATAGGGCAATATGACATATACTATTGACTTACCGTTCCGTGGTATAGGAACATCCCCAACTGGCCGTACACGTAGAACGCCGTCTGTCAAACACAAAAGAAAAAATGAGTTGTACGCGCATGCTTATACCATTCACATCGTCAAATAAAAAATGTAGAAAGAAAGAAAAATACATATTATAGGTTTATTCGGAGGTTATATACAAAACTTGGGTTGAGCAAAATGCAATGAAGCATATAAACGATAAAATATAGACGTACCAGCGAGTCGGGAAGCAATAAAGGGTCGTACAAAGTACCAGTACTAGGTGCCAGACATCGTGAGAGTACAAGCATATACACATGGATTTTTTACGTCTGTTTTCCTTGTCATTATTATTTAACAGACAATACACTGACGAGTTTTATTTAGTGCAGTAGGTATATAGTTGATAAATTGTTGCAAATCCTATGGTGACAGCTGGCAGTAGCTTAATCGAATCAAACATTTGCAAAGCAAACACTTTGGTAGCGGTAGTAGCGTGCCTATCTAAATAACATATTGGATTCACACAATACATAAGTCGTTATGTAGCCACCACGGTAATTGCGGGCGAAGTTGTTCTGTGTACAGATATCTCGATACATGAATAGAAAAACAGGATTACGACGCATACATAGCAACAGGTGCATTGGTCATGTTCACACTACCGACTATAAACATACGCATGCAAGCTACGCTACACGACCGCAATACTAACGAATGCACCCGTTATACCACACATTAGAAGACATATAGAGTTCTTCGCTCTCAGTAGGCGTTGCAGAGGCCATACCATGAGAATAGCCGCCACAACACCTATCCTCGGCACGATGGACGCCAGCGTACGCGTCACCACCCGAAACTCTGCACAAAGGCATTGTGTAAAGTGAGAAGTGTTTTGGATGTGAATGGAGTGTTGCTGCTCCAAATGTCCCTCGACTACTTATTCATTTTGTATTGGCAAATTTGGCCTGTACAACGGCCATTTTTGAGGTGACCAGTATTGAATGTATATGAGGTTCACGGCGCCTCGGATGAGCGGGAAAAAAGTGATCGACCACAGTGTCATGATCCAACTAGATACAACCAACAAATGAACGAGTGGCCCACAGGGATCAGATAGAACCCCTCTGGAGTTGTATCGCAGTTCAAACACCCACCACACCACGCGCATGCTACAGGATACTTACCGACAGACAACCGCGACATTGACGGGTAACTCGTGTGGAAGTGCGATATGCCGACGCCCAAGAGCGAGAATGAATCGCTTGGTCGTGTAATACCAATCCACATATATCGTACAATAGAAGAAATTATGCTCTACTCGTTGCAATAGCAAACAAGCAAACCACTACGAACCCAAATTGGCTCCCATATATAAAGTGGCATACATACCGGGTAACATGGACATAGGCCTAACAAGTCTCATGACGCGCAGGATAATCGTCAACCGAACAAAAGATACTGCCGTGGAAATAGTACAGTGGTGAGCTACAGTGGACACACTGTGGGCTATAAATAGCACAACGTACACCGCAGATGGAAAAAAAAGCTCAGAGATATAGAACGATTGTGCTCATTCGTGGACGAAGATGCATGTGAATACACCACTTACTCTGCTCAAAAACCATAAACAACTCGGCTAAACACATCGTCACCACCACCACGGAATCGAACCTGAGGGACAATTAAACAAGCGCAAGTGATTAGGTCTGGGGAAGTTTTCAAGTGTCCAAGTACTTTTTTAAGCAGGGAGAGGAATTCACCCGCAAATTAAAACATGGTCCAATCCTGTCTGAATACGAGATATTTCACATTGATCGGATGGGCTGATTGAAGCGTCTGGCTTTGGTACCACAAACACAACCCAGAGCTCCTTTAAATGCTACGCTATAATGTGGTTTCCTAACCTACACACTAGCAATTTTTATTAAATACAGAATGGCGGCAATGCTGTGAGCGCAAGTTTAATGAGGTTGTCAAGTTATAAAAAGGGCCAAGTGTTCATAGGTAGTCATAAATACGTATCGATCCGACGACAGTGTAGTAAGATAAGCGCATCAACCGTCATGTGTGCCTGGATAGGCTGTAATTCGATCTCAGCAAAATGATTCAGATCACTGGTCAACGGGCCCAGAAACCTATACATGATACAAACATATAAAGTGGATACGTACTTCAGCCACACATCTCGGGGTGTGTGCAGACCTCCTATCAACAGTCGCAGTCCCACTTCTATCATAGAGAAAGTCAGAAATGATATGTCTAGGAATCTTGAGAAAGTCGACTGCTGGAATTTCCCCTGAATAAGTGAAATGTGAAATGTGATCAAGACGAGCATGTCTAAAGGATTGCCATATACATCGCACAAGACTAAGAAACATACGTGCATTTAGATGAAATGTGAATCCTTGTGACGTGTTTCGGTCACACTTAATCGTATTGGTGAAGGTGAATGATATTCTTCACCACTGGGACAAACTCGTTTGTTTCTGTGATCGGATTTAAAAAATGCTTATCCAATGGCTGCGTAAACATGCGGCCAGATCAGTAGTACCCGCAACCTCTAAAAGTGAACTACGAAATAGTGGGATCTACTTTACTTGCCAACACACTCTAGAAGTGAGATACAAAATAGTGGGATCTACTTTACTTGCCACCAATATGATTAGCCATCACACATAACAATAGGCACAATGTCTATGATGTAGGATTCGCCAGAATGTCTATTATGTAGAATTAGCCATCACACATAACAATAGGCACAATGACTATGATATAGGATTCGGCAGAATGTCTATAATGTAGAATTAGCCATCACACATAACAATAGCCACAATGTCTATGATGTAGGATTCGCCAGAATGTCTAAAACTGCGACCACTAAGTCTGACTTTTGGTCTTGCGCCCACTATTTCTGACGCATAAGTCTGATGCGATACAATTGTGACTGAAAATTGCGACAACTAAGTCTGACGCTAACACATACGACCGCTAAACAGAAGGTAGAACTAACCATCACACATAAATATAGACACAATGTCCATATTTCAGTGCCGTGTGCGCGTATGTCGTTGCACAAAACCGGTTCTATATACGATGCCATTTTTCCGGATGAAGCTATTCGACTTACCTCAACAATTAGCTCTCGGATGATAATAAAGGCACTGCAGAAAATCACGATGTCTGTCAATATCAGGAACCAACCGGCGTGTACCATTTTTCGCAGATGTGGATACCTACAATAACAATAGTCAATAGTTGTGTATAAAAAATAATAGATGAATACGTGGCAATCAACAAACGACGATACTTAATAATAAAAACTCAATATCATTAATCAATCAATCCACACTTCGAGTCGCAGTCAAGACATGCCATCACACACTAACACACACGCCTTTAATGGCTTTATTGGCCACAATGATTGCACACTGCCGTGTACATGGCCACATATAAATATACACACCAACAAACATCTAAACCCGTTCCCAAACTCTCACTGAACTATGTATGAAGCCATGCAGACGCCCGCACATAGACCCTCAACCAATGAGGGCAGAAGGCCACAGATAAATTTACAAAAGTTCGCACACGCACACACCAACTCTGGAGACATTCACACACATGCACACATACACAAGTACGCATACATATACACACCTACGTACACATACAAGCACACCCACACGACGTTTGGCACAACAGCGACAAGTTCTGATTGACTTGTCTATTGATCGAGTAGTAGTAGAACGCTCAAGTCAGGAATCTATCACAACTTACAACTTATAGACACGCACACCGTGCAACACACACTTGACACACGCTCTCATCTACCTCTTTGCCATAGGCGTGGCCTGTTCTGATTGGACCACTTCGAGATTGAGGGCGAGCAAATCGAACAGACTCAGAAACTCGCTGGCAGTGATGTGCCCCGAGTGCGATTTATCCATCAAAAGAAAGAGCGCAGGAATGGACTTGCCCTTTAGGCCACACGCACGGAACACCTCACGCATCTCCTCGAAGGTTAAAGTGAGCGCTGTATAGCGTATACAGGAGATGTCCGCAGCAAGTAAAAAATCCGAGCACAATGTAAACGAAGAGGAAATTCTGACTTGCTATACTAACCATACCTTTCTATTTCCGCCTTTATATATATTGAACATATACTTGCACAGCACACAGCCCAAGAGAAGAGCGAACTCGGGGTAATAAAGCCGTATGATAGTATGAACATCATCGAATAACACGTCTGGCCCAACAGCGATAGACTTTGGACATCTCCCGAGCGCCCACACTAGTCAGTGTATTTGTTTATCATTTTCAATAGTATACAACTCAGGCAAATAGCACGTGCGCAGCGCCTGAGAAATTCTCAAGACATAGTCGTCACACGGATATGCCGATCAAACGGAGTGCGTTGCCGAATATTTAAAACAACACCAGGATGCACCAGAATAGACACTTACACGCCGATGAGGGATTTTTGCTGAAAGATCCACACATCAAAGGAAACGCTTCCTTCAGTGTAGATCTCCGGCGCTCTATGGTGGCGATGGTGTCTTCCTGTCAGCCCGGATACACCAGAACGGACGAAAATAGGCACACCAGACACATCAGTGATATGATTTAACTAAGACTTATCTCTATGGTGACGATGGTGTCTTCCTGTAAATCAGGATACACCAGAACGGACGGAAATAGGTACACCAGACACATCAGTGATATGCTTTAACTAAGCATAATAAGAACGGTAGAGTGGCACACTGTGTATACGACACGCAACCACGGGACAAGATAGTACACTGGTAGCCTAGAATGCAAGGACGAGATCAAATGACACTTCGCCAATACACATGTATGAATGCATACACGCACACACATACACGCATATGTACATATGGACGTACATGTGTCTTGATACAGATACACAAACACATCCAACGCCGATTCCCACTTGAGTCTCGACTTCCATCCCGTAGTCGACAACAACAGCAGAAACTCAAGTCCATGCGTTCAGTAGGTGCACAAACGGCCAGTCACGGGTTATTCAATACCTTTATGTGTACTGTACGCACACGTGAAGGACATTGCAGTACATCGCACCACATTACAGCCCATTGTATCAAGCTATTCAAAATATTCAGCAACCAAGTCACATATGATCCCAAGTGCATAACCTACCACCCAATCCCAGTACATTTCCCTCCACCAGTGCACAGCAGGCGATACGTTTATCGCGAGTATTCAGTATAGACAGTGACAGCACCACCTTGCTTGAAATACAGAATAAGCAGTGTTGCACCGTTCGTTCTCGCACGCCTAACACACCACCTTTCGACACACAATCAGTGTCTGAACCAAACCACGCACGCGTGCTCATACAATACATGTGAAAGGCAATTGATTACCTTGAACTGGTCTTTCCATTCGTTATACACGGTTGCCAGAATGATGTTGGTTATAATGTACACCGTCAGCGATGTGAACGTGATGAAAAAGATCGCATACGCTCGGTCGGCATTGTATGCCTCCATCCTAAAGTTGAGGTGAGAAGGATAATGAAAGATGCATTTTAGATTTTCAAAACAAGCATTTCAAAACAAGCAGATAGTGGAATTGTAACGTTCAGTAGATTGGAACAATGCTTCTATCTCCAACCAGATACGCTCGATTGTCATTGTAAAAGCCCATCCTTCTGTGCGCGGGAATTATTTGAGATGAAAGCCACAGCGTACATAAGAGCTGCAAATTATGAAACCGACAACTACATATACTAAATAATACAGCCCCAAGAAAAACGCAGAACAATCGAGGAAACACACGTCACAAGCCGAATACCCACATGGCATACCAAACATCGGGATTATTCGCAGTGGTCGTCAAAATCATCATGCTCTTGATTGAGTCGTGTACTGTGCCGAAGTTATTGATTTCCTTGCCTCTGTTTAGAATGTTCAGCGAATAATCAGAATGCATCGGGCTGATAATCTACATCGAGTGTGAGAACCGATCGATTGGGAACAATCCGAACAGTCTACAAATATATCATTCTGTATTGGTCACGGATACATACGTTCCCAGGAACATGGTCATGGCCACAAGACCAAAAAGCCCCACCGTCAGCAGCAGCAACAACGACACAGGCAGAATGCGGATCACCTGCAGACCACCCATGGCAAATGGCGCACAGGACACGTGTTAACTATACAAGCCATCCATCGCAGATAACAAGTTAAACAACAATGTACCTGATTCAGCTTGGCGTTATATGGTGCATGTGTGACACCAATGACTCTACGGATGATCTACAACCGAATGTCGGAAGTGTATTTGGTGAAACCAATGGCTCGGGTGTCCGAAGCGACTTGAGAGTAAGTCAGGCGGTGTACAATGACACAAAGCATCGCAAAGGCGGCGGATGTATTGGAAATAGAAGACTGTGGTGCAGATATGAATTTGTATACGTCCGTTAACCAAGAACTCAACATCACATATACAACGGTTCGGTCGTACGTTTAAACACAAATAGATATACCAGCACTTTTGCGCAAGTGCGAATATACCACACACGTGTCGATGTATGTGTGTTTTCGAATCTGTACACAGCTGCACGACCACATACTACCCCTCAAGCATAGTATATCGACAGGCCAGCCCACAAGCCCACATGTGCATGCGTACCGTCTTCCCGACCACGTTCATCGCTCGTGCAAGCGTATGCGAAGTGTTGATCAGTAAAAACGGTCGGAACATGCGCAGCAGGCGAAAGTGGCTGTAGCCGAAGCCTTCCAGAAGACTCTCAAACAGCAGCACCTTTGGGGGCATGTGGGGGTCAATGTGCTTCAGTTGTGCAGAGTGGTGAGGGAGTGTCTCGCTCATTTGGGAAGTCACACTCGTGTGTGTATAGACGCCAAGCTCATTCAATGTGTATAATGCACGATACACTAGTGAAAGAGACAAAAGGTCTTGTCCATGTTAGCAATGTTCAGCTGCGGCATTCTGCGTTAAATTACAACTCACAACAATGTGCACTTGTTTCCAATCAAGTCGCTGAGTTTATTACAGCTAACCATAGGTTGACGATCGAGAAAAAAGAATCTTGCCAGTGGCACCTACCAATAGAATTAAAATGATATAACCGTTTCTTGTGGTGGATATTGTCCCTCTGGCGCCAACGAAGCGCACTCGTGACGAGATGTCGAATGCGAAAAACATGAAACACGCCGCCTGCGTACATCTTGAAATCTGTGGCCAAAAAAGAGTCAAATAACGAGGCTGTAACAATGCAATAGCGAAAGTTATCGAATAAAAATAAGAGTGGACAAAGTATTATAGTATGCTTGCGCATGTCTCTGTGCACATGCATACACAAATAGACTTCTTGTTTCTGAAAATTAGCGCCGTTTATTCAAACACAGTTCAGAATGTGCATGTGAGCTTAAAAAAATTTAAAGTTTATCAGCGATGAGTGCTAAGAATAGCACTTGTGCTATGTAAACTAGATCATATTTGCCGCATAATCTTTCAATTTCTTTATAAATATAGGAATGCAATGCTGAAACCGTATTTTTAACTTTATACCATATAGACACGTATATTGCTCCACTTTGCTCATTCACTTAGACATGCAGTCATAGATGAATTTAACTAGTTGTAATAATGTACATGATTGTACGTGAATGTGTGCATGATAAATACCACATATCTGTGTATACCTATATATGTATATTAGGATCTAATTTTCTTCAGTGAAATGCATATGTGTATGTCACAGACAAAATTTAAATTGCATAAGATATTCAACTTGATAAATAGTGCTCTTGTAGCCACTTCCAATAAACGTCTTGAATTCACCCTGACTATTCCCTATACTCTACAACGACAAACTACTTTGAAAAGATTAATA